TGGTGCCCCCCCCCCCACGCTCCGCCCCCCGCCCGCTGCCGCTGCTCGACCGCCCCGGATGGAACCGCCGCCGCGTTCCATCGAACGCCGCCTGATGACGTCACAAGCGCCCTCTGTCGCACAAGTTGCCGGTTCCGGCAGCCCGCGTTCTACTCGGGCCGGGCTTGCCAGGGGAACGATCCTTAGGCAATCATTGGACAATCGTTTCCACCCTCGTACGACCAACAATAGGAAAAGGAATCAGAACCCGTGGTGGAGGTGATATCTTTTATTAGACCAACTACATTTGTGCAAAATAATTTCTTTAATTTTGAGTGTAAGAATTTTTTTTTTTAATTTGCAAAAATCTAGTTGGTCTAACAAAAGATATCACCTCTACCACGAGTTCTGATTCCTTTTGCTCCTCGACCAATACGGCTACAAGCTGGATACCTGACAATAGTAGGAAAAACATTCCAAACGCACGATCATTTTTGAGGCAGCTCCTTGATGTAGCATAGGCAAAACCCAAACTATGGCATTTGTACAATAATTTTAATCTTTGTACTGTCAACAATACTAAAAACCTTCAAAATGCATGATCATTTTTGAGACTGTTCCTTGATGCAACATAGGCAAAACCCAAACTATGACGTGTACAATTATTTTAATCCTTGTACAATCAACAGTATTAAAAGCCTTCAAAATGCAGTCATTTTTAAGGCAGCTCATTGATGCAGCACAGGCAAAACTCAAACTATAGGGGTATAGGTTGTTGGTCTAAGGACATAGGCAGACAGGGTTCTTTGGGTAAATCTGATATCTTTTATTAGACCAGCTCAAATAGTTGGAAAAATTCTTCTTTGCAAGCTTTCAGGTACAAACACCCTTTGTCAGGCTGCGGTGGGAGAAAACTCCCTGGGGTTCATTGTCTAGCTGCATAGAAACCAGACAACCACGGGTAAAGTTTTACTGCAGTATATTTGCTCGAGCAATGACCATTAAGCCAGCAAAGAGGCAAAATGGCGCCCCCCTAAAGGGTGGGGCGATCTTTTATACTTTTTACAACAAGGCAAGACTACAGGGTTAACAAAAGCAATACTTGGGCAGTGCTTTACAAATCTTTATAACAGCATATTTCTATTAAGCTGAACTAGCACTTTAAAAGCTAAAAGTTAAGTAACAGTAACATTATGATACCTTAGCAAGAACTTGCAGTAGTAGATACTTCTTAAGGACACGATCACTGTACTTAGAACAATGGCTTCTTTGTCTTATCTTGTTCCTTGCTGTAGCTGATTTTACAGCACACAGACACAGATTCACTTGCTGCATTTTACTCAGAAAATGCTTAACACAGTTAAAATGATTACTTGACACAAGCAAAGGCTTAGCTATCATTCTGCCTTGTGGTCAGCGGCATTGCTAGGCCACAGGTCATGCCTTGTATTCAGCTGCAAAGCTAATACTTCTTAATAATCCAAATTATTGTTAACCTAACAGTATGCTATCAGAAAACTATTCTATTTCAGGGTAAAAACAAACATGCTCACTACAAGGCTGAGGAAGCAGCTGCAGTGGGTATGCGCTCTTCCTAGATGGAATGAATAGCAAAGAGTAAAAGTAAACTCAAACAATGGCATTTGTACAATATACGATCATACAACCTTATATGATCCATAATAGTAGAAGCCATCAACATGCATGATCATTTTTGAGGCAGCTGATTGGTACAACATATGAAAAACTCAAGTCACTCTCGGAATCTTAACCAACTTTGGGGTTTGCTGCCAATGAGCACTTTCTTATGATGGCTTGCCTTGAAATCAAGAAATGCTTCAACTTTGATGACCCACTTCTCGCTCACTGGAGTTACAGTAAGCAATATAAAGTAAATAAGACTTATTTGCATACTTGGTGCATAGGTTTTTCAGTGTACAATAGTTTTTCAGCAAATACGATAATTTTGAGCTTCCAATACAGTCATTTCAATTTAAGACCTGGCAACACTGAAAAGCATGGCAGAAGGACAAGGCTGGAGGTTCAGGAGCCTGGTGGCAGCCATCACTACCCTCCCCAGGCTGCATCTAGGAGCAAAGCACCAGCCACAGTGTGATGATTTCCCCTGAAAACCTGGGCTCTTATGTAGCAGCCATGCCTAGAGTGCCCATGCATGTTTGCACCATGCTTTTTGCTTGCTTAAAAGACCCCGCCCTTTGCCAAGGTCACTCAACACCTGCACCTTACCACTTGAAACCCTGCCTCAGAGATGAAAAGGGTATTACCAATTTGCAAACTGAATCGTAGAAAATGAGTGTTGGAAGGGACCTCAAGAAGTCATCTAGTGAAGTCCAATGTTTCCCAACGTCTTCCTGGGATGGAAGGTCTTTCAGTTACTTCCTTGTTATAGTTCTTTTGAGTGAAAGGTGTTTATTGGTGAGAGGAAAAAGAGTGATGAGTTCTTTGGGAGCACCACAGACCTGTATGAGAGTGGGGTGCAGACTTGAAAGGGACACTGGGAGAGAATGGAGAGATCTTCCTTGGGTGTGAGGCAAGGGAACTAAGAGTGGATGGGAATGGAGTGGGGAAAGCAGGAAGTGTTTTATTGTACCTAAATGTGACTGGGGTTTGGAAGAGTTGGGAAGTATGGCAGGGATTGCCTGAAGGATTTGCTTTTATGGGCAATAGGCAGGAATGTGGGGGGTGCGGTAGAATTTTAAAGTTTTTCTATTTTCTAGGGAGCTTAGTCTTGTTTCTTAGCTGTTGGTGGCTTCTCATTTCTTGCAAGTCACCCCAAGACTTTCTGGATGGGGTACATGTAGTACTCACAGGGGTCTGCCCCAGTTGCTGCTGCTTTCTCAACCCTGGTTCACCTCCTATTGCTTGCCTGCCATGACTTCAGTGTTGGTTGTTATTGTTGGGGAGGGGATCCCTGAGGGTCAGTAATCACCCTGTGGGGTAGGCTGATCTGTCCACTTCAACCAGCTATACCTGGGACTTTCTGACCTCTCTCAGTAAAGGGGGGGGGGGTGCACCCCATTTAGGTTCTGGGCACTTGCTGGGGTCTCAGCTGTCACAGACTCAGCCCTCTTTCTCTGTGGCTACACCCTCTACCTGAGCATGCTGTTCAAAGCCTCAGCCTCCAGGTTCAGTCCTCCCTCTATAACAATCCCCTTCTTAGGATCCACTTGCACCTTAATCATCTCTGCCCCCGTCTCAGGGCCTGAACACTGGTGCTTATTGCAGGAAGGCACCCTAAAGCACCCCCAACTATGGCCTCCTCCTCCCCTTACAGCCATAATCCAGTTCTCCACTGGATCTAATCAAAATGTAAACATCAGCCCAAAAGCTGTGAAACAAAAACCTCTCCCAACTCTAGGTTAATACTTCCCTGCAAGCTGCTAATTCCCCTTGGCCTCTTCTTCACAGCTCTCTGGGACTGCTTAGACACCAATCAGCCCACCTCCCACAACCACCTTACACAGGACCACTTCACCTTGCTGCCTACAGGCCCAAATCAACCTTTTCAACTCAGGGACTGGTTTACATTCCTCATCTTCAACCCAGCTCACTTCCTGATTGTCCCTTTTGTTCGTCTATCTCTAGTGCCAAGTGCAGCTAATTGCCTTATTAGCTGCCTGATCCCTGGTGGTTTACCTGTTCAACCTCTCCTGGTAACGGGCAGGGGTTCCCTTTTGCAGTAGGATATACATCTTAATAATAACAGGAACACAGTTGTCACCATCTCTGTGACCAACTCTGACCAGCATTGCCAACATCCTTGGACATGCAGAAATATTATTATTCTCATTTCAAATAAGGATGTTAGAAATCAAGAAGTATATGGATCCATGCTGGTGGAAGCCTTTGCCTCCCACTTAGCACTCTTCACTCACAAAGAATACTTTGCAGGGTCAGAGCCTGGCTTTAGCCAGAAGTCCCATAAAGCTGAACCTAGATTTTCTAAGCTTCTGTGCATTTTCTTAACCATAACCTCATCTGTCCTATCTGGAAACTATATTTTTTGGTTTTGCTTCTAAGTTTTGTTTTATTTTAGTTTAAATCACTGCCTGGGGGCAAAGTGGGATTTTCATATAGGATTACAATGTTACAATAAGAAGAGCCTGTCTTGATATATTTTTCTATTTTAAGAATGTCTAACGAGATAGTCAGACTATAAAATCCAAAAGATGCAGTTCATAATGTCCATCATAATAAAGACTAAAACTTACAAAAACAGTGGGGCCACCTAATTTGTTCTCCATTTTACTTTTGAATAGCAGATAAAACTATAATTTTTCCTCTCTTTCTTTTTCTAGTTCCAGATATTATAGCATGCACTTATATAAGAGTCTATGAATAAGGAAATGTAAATATTCAAAGCATTTTGTAGAAATTAAAGTGGGTATTTTGGCATGATGGGAGGCCATTATTGCATATTTGTCTGCTCAGAATTGACCCTGGCCAAGGGAAACTCAGGGACTTGGTCGGCAGGATATCTTGGGAGATGAGCCTGAGGGCAAAAGATGTCCAGAAGAGCTGGCTACACTTTGTTGAGGCTTTTTTAAGGTTGTAGGAGCAAGCAATCCCAATGTGACAGAAGAATGGGAAGTGCAAGAAGAAACCAGCCTGGCTAGACAGAGAGCTCTTCAAGGAGCTGAAATTCAAAAAGGAATTCTATTAAAAGTGGAAACTCGGCCATATTATTAGGGAAGACTAAGAGAGTATTGCATGGGCATGCAGGGTGAAAATTAGGAAGGCCAAGGCACAATTCGAGATGCAGCAGGCAAGGGACATAAAAGGCAATAGAAAAGTATTCTACAGGCACGCCAAAAGTAAGAGGAAGACCAGAGATTCTATATCTCCCTTAAAGAATGCAGAAGGCAATCTAGTCACAGTCAATGTGGAGAAGGCCAAGTATTTAATGTCTTTTACTTCATTTTTCATAAATAGGGGCAGCTACCAGATGACAAGTGCAGTTGGCAGCAGAGAAAGGGAAGGAGACACCCAGCCTATAGTAATGGCAAAACAGACTAGGGATTATTTACAGAAGCTAGATGCTTTCAAGTTGGCAGGGCCAGGATGGGATGCACCTGAGGTTACTGAAGGCATTGGCTGAGGTAATTTGAGAGCCACTGGCTATTTTCCTTGAAAACTTGTGGAGGTTGGGTGAGGTCCCAGATGACTGGAAAGAGGCAAGTATAGTGCCCATTTTTCAAAAAGGGAAGGAGGAGGATCTGGGGAACTATAGCTATCAGCCTGAGCTCAATACCTGGAAAAATCGTGAAGCAGGTCCTCAAGGAATCTACTGTAAGATGCCTAAAGAAGAACAAGGTGGTCAAGAACCATCAGCATGGATTCACCAAGAGCGAATCATGCCTGACCAATCTGATTTCTTTCTATGATACAGTGACAGGATCTGTGAATGAGGGGAGAGCAGTGGGCATGGTGACTGTAGCAAGGCTATTCAGCACTGATGAGGCCTCACTGAG